CGGGTAAAAAATAGAAGAAGAAAGCGATATCCCATAATTCCAATTTCTATCCTTCATCCTTCGTCTTACTCCTCGTTCTCCGCGCTGTTGTGGCCGGTTGTGGTATTTATCCTGCGATGACGGAGAACCGCACGATTACACTGTTATATTAGCGTCGTCAAGAGAGCCGATTAGTCGATTAAAGGCAGTACAATGGCGCCTGTCCGTCTCGAAGCTCGCGAAAGGCAAGTTTCGCACTCGGCTTTTCTGCCGTCTTAATTGAAGATCGCGAATGAATAAATTTGCAAATCACGGCCTTGAAGCACTTATTCACGCCACCGCATCCCGGTCAGCGAATTTATAGGTCGCGAAGGCGGCAATGACCTCCCCGAACCGGCGAACCGCGCCGTGGTTTCTGCGAAACAATGCGATTACACGTGAAATAGCGCGCCGCCCGTCACGCTACGAAGGACAGCCTGTTTTCCATAGCAGAACGAAGATCAGTTAAGAGGGATCCGAATCCGGGGTTTATGCAAATGTTCCGAGCACAAACTACGAACGAGTCGAATTGATTGAAAGTCCAGTTAGATCAATTTCAGAAAACACAAAACCCTCTCGAGTCCGCTCGTTTCGGCCGACGGAAATGAACTGGGTAAATAGGATCGTCGAATGGAAATTCGTGAGGTTTTTTTGAGCGAAATTCGAAGACAAGGTTTAGGTACTTGTACGCACAGTTATTCAACGCACGTATGTGCCATTTTGTCCCGCTGTTTTTCGCTATCTTCGAGGAAGGCTCATGATTCCATTCTCTCATAACTTGGCGTCTTTTTGAGCAAACTGGCCTAGATGGTTTTTATAGGCTTTCAGGGAATTGAAGTTCTTCCCATTAAGAGAAGTTTGTAGGGACCGGAATACGTGGTAATCCGTTCGACTCGAATTTCGAGTAGTGTCGACCGATCTTTTTCCACCGTCTGTGCGTCGTTTACGAGGCCGGCACGTGGAGTGGCGACGGCAGGTAACCGCGTAACACGGCCGACATCTCATTTTTCCTTTTACTCGCAGCTTGTCGTCGGCGAATTCCTTCGGAAAGTCGCGCGGTGAAGCCAGAAAACATTTTACGAGCGCGTCCCCTCCCTCTTCTCCTTCTTCTCCTCCTCCCGGGGCAGATTTTTTCTGACGCGCTTCGTGAAACATTGTTGTACGCGTGTAAAGTGTGCGAGAACCCCCCTCCCGCCCCCTCTATTTCCCCCCTCCTCGCTCGCAAATTATCCCTGATTATATCGAATTAGAAAAAAGTGTCGTTCGAGCATCGCGTTGCGCGCTCAATCTTCCTCCTCGGCCTTCTCCTCGTCTCGTTCGTCCGTTCGTCTGTCCGTTCCACCAGCTTCTCCCCGGCCTGGCCGCGCGTCGCGTCTCTAGTTGTGAATGACCACGTCAAGTACCTTGCTGGATGGAGGAATAATTTCACAACCGAGGGAGACGCTCGGCTGGCGTATTAATTTACGGCTATTGCGTGACGGACGTTCCAACTTCCAAGACCGATGAACATTCGCTCACCGGACATGCGAATAATTTCATTATTCCTCCGATACGCGGGGCCGCAATGTCGCGTGCGCGATTCCGCATCACTGTTCGGAAGGGTATCTAGATACAATTATCTGAATAATCATCCAGATGAATAAATCGATCACCTTGATCTTTACCTAGATGGAAGAAGTACGAAATATATTGGTCTTAATCTTAGATAGAAGAACGTGTTATCTTATCTAAAAATTATCTGAAATAATGTTACGGACCCATATTTTGAAAATGAAGGAAATAATTCGGGCCTATGCGTTAAGTCCGTATCAAATTCGGAATCGGAGATTAGATTTCAACGAATCAACAAGTTGCGATTTTTTCTCCTTTGGTCTGTGCTTTTTAGCTGCACTGCTGAACTGGTGCAACTAAAAAGAATAGACCATTTGCTTCAATTGATCAATCTACTTTAAGCTCGTATCAAAGTTAGCAATCAATGATTATCGGTCCTTTTTCTTAGATCCTTAAATTTAAAGCGATTACGTTGACGAATTACTCAACCTTTGTGCAATTTTATGATCTGCGTAATTTTTCTTGCACATTTTTATAAACTCTCCCATGAAAACAATATCATGTAAGAAATTATCTAGATAAGTACCGCTGCTTATATTATCCTCCATCTACATCAATCGAAAGCAAAATGATCATCATCTCATCTAAGATGAATTTTTCGGATTTTCATCTCATCTGAAACTAGATGAATCCGAAGTCATCTAAGCATCGCCACGCGTCTCGTGCGTCTTTATCGCGCGCAAATTAATTTTTCCAGGCGCGCGGACAACCGCGAAATCGTCCGCTCTCATCGCCTCGACAACGCGAGCGTTTCGTCATCGACAGAGCGCAGAAAGACGCTTGATGCTTGACGCTTGATTTTTTTCCTCTATTTGCTTCGTGCTTCAAAATGACGTTTCATATCGCGGAGCTTTACATCTAACGTGAGAGCTGTCATTGAGAACGTCGTTGACTTTATCATTGCGAGAACGCGAGGAGGAGAGACGCGAGGAATAACGAACGAGGACCGCTCCTCGTGGAGCGCGGAGAGTAATTAAGTCGAGAGGGTTGATTTATCGCGCGATCCCCGCCACCAACGTGCGCGATACGCGCCTCAGATTCGCGCGCGGCAGCGAACTTGCGGCGCCCATCCATCGTCCGGGCGTTTTTACTTTGACTTCCTTGGCTCGTAAAATTTCCAGCCGCCTCGTTCGCGAAGAGCCGCTTCATTGTCGTCGTCCTTGCCCTCGTCGTCCGCACAGTTACACACAGAAAATATGCACTGCGTTCAAGTATAAATGTTATTTGTTTCAAGTATTTAATTAGTTTATATATCCGCAGGCATATCATAGGTTCTTCATCGAATTCACTCAAAATATATTCTGAATTTTAATAGCATTTCACAATCAAGAGTACTGAAATTAAAATGTCAGAACTAAAACTTCCGTTTAATTGTTCAAATTAACCAAATTAAACTTTTCTCCGATAAATTTTACGATATTCTCTTCTCTTTCAAATTTTATAACAAATCTAGTTGCTAATTTTGAAAGTGGCTTAACTCCATTTGTGGTAAGAAAACACATATTATACACTTAATAATTGCTATTATTTTAACAGGAATTGTAAATTTAACTATCTTAGATATATTTAAGCAGTGTGACACATTGGTATCCTATACGTATATATTTAATTTTATTGAAACGCAAACTCTTAAATGTCTCAATTTAAATATAAATAGATTCAGGTCACTTTCAAAATAAACGGCTTATTTTATTACTAGATTTTCATATGTATCGTAATTGTATACATAAAAATGTATTTATTAGTATTTCCCTTCCAAAACCGAAGTTTGTTGATTCGCTGAAATTTAATCTCCAACTCCTAGTCTAGATCGTAACATTATTTCGGATAATTTTCACATGAGATAACATGTTTTTTTCAATCTAAGACACAGATAAATATATTTTGTATTTCTTCCATTTAAATAAAGATAAAGATGATTGATTTATTCATCCGACGATTATTTCGATAATTTCACGTAGATACCGGCAGACACTGATTACGTACGGGAGATATCGTCGTCGTTATTTCCACACTCTCACCGCGAAATTCTCGTGTCCCGGGTGGACTTTTTCGGCGCGCGTTCTCAGGTTTACGAGTGGCCAGGTGGCTGAGAAGAGCCGGCGGGCGTTCCTTTCTTCAAATTCCTCACATCGGGGCCGGCGCTCTTCTCTTCGGGGTCACGGCTGGACGGCTTCTTCCTCCGCGTCGGTTCCGCGTCGCGGCTGCCGGTGTGATGAATCGTTCTTTAAGTCGGCGTAACTCAGCCTCTTCTTCATCTGGATCTCGAGCGGGACGCTCGCGCCGAGCGTTTACGAGCGCGCGTCGGTCGGAATCTAACACGCGCGCGCGCGTCTTCCTAATCAGCCGCGCGCGTTCTCGTAACGCGCGTCTTCGGCTACCTTCCACTTGAAAGATCACCCAATTATCAACGTATTCATCAGCGTGTATGCCAGACGATACGCTTAACGATGTATCAATGTTGCGATGATCGAAATCGTCGTACGAGGGCCTCCTCATTCAATTTCTCGGAATGGAATCTCGCTGAAAAAGGAATGAAAGGTTGCGTTATTTTCCACTCGAGGTGACAGTGAAAATATTGCCGCTCGAAACCGCAAGAATGAACGTCTCGCTTAACTCTTGGAAGCCCAGCGGGAAGCATGCTTCCCACCTTTCTTCTTTCAGATTTTTGCCGAACAATTTTTCATTGCTATATTTGGACTGTTTTCTTTTCTCCTTTTATTTTTCTATCATTTTAACCCTTAAATGCATGAAATTTTTTTTATTACTGAATTATTATTTTTTTTTAGATTCATAGGTAGTCCGAGAAAATGAGAAAAATATTGATAAAAAACCTGAGGCATATGTTGAGCATTGCCTTTGTGCCTCTTTGGATTGTATATTTCGTTCTAAGGAAGAATTTGGTATTCCACGTTTAGGTGTGCCTTTGTTCTCGACAAAGAGGAAAAATAAATATGTTGCAAATTTACAACACTATGCATTTAAGGGTTAAGAATAGGTGAATGTAAAAACATCGTCGAAATACACATTTTGTTAACTGCAAAAGTGTTATAAATAACGGCATTAAGGAAAATATCTGTTTTTTTTTCAGAGAAAATATATTTTCTGGCGACTTTTCCAAAATTTAGGTGTGAAAATTTACCTATAGGGTTTTTCGAGGTCGCCGATTGTGAGTCTGATGTCAGAATTGGGGGATTTTCGGAATCGAAGATGGTGGTCCAACATGACCATCTTAGATTTAAGGAATATTTCCAATTTTACCTCGCGATCAGCGGCCCCGGGAACCCCCGTGTACCAATGTTGAGGAAAAACAAGCGGGAGGGAAAATGTGCTTCCAAAGGTGTTAAAGCCAGCGATGATTTTTGTTTTAGATTATGTCTACTGGGTGGCTTAATGTTGGTCGTTTCGGGCGGCTTCACCGCGGCGGCCACCTCCGAGGCGATATCCCCCGACTTCGAGACGGTCCGCACGAGCAACGCGGCGGTGTTGAACCGGCTCGGGCTGTCACCTCTCGAAATACCGGACGGGCATCACAAGAAGCGGCTGGCCGGTCCGGAGCCACCTGGGTTCAGCTCGCAGACGCGCATCCATCAGCCCTACAGCCGTCGGCACGACCGTCACCGGGACAGTCACGTTTACATCGTGAAACTGCCGGCTAGCCCGCCTTACTACACCATCACGAAGCCGCACAAAGCGTCCGTCAGAGACGACGAGATAACGAGGACCGCCGGCGGTCTGACGTTGCGCGAGTTTTTAGGCTTCCACGGGAACGGTAAACCGGCTAAGATCTACCATTGGAACCTGCCGGTGGTGAAGAAGATAACGGAGAAGAAGCGGCTGCAGAATCAGATGAGGATCGATCAGGCCAGGAGGAAGTTCGAGGACATGAAGAAACGGCAACAACAGCCGCCGGTCACCGGCAAGACTCACGATCACCACGCCGACAGCAGGCCGCGGCAGAAGACGTCGCCGTCGGTGGCGAAGCACGTGAGGAACAACGACAAGAGGCTCCGCTATTCCGACGGTAACGAGGACGCGCTCGTCGAGAGGAACGACCTGGCCGACAAGACGTACAGGCTCGGCGATTCGAGCGTGCACAGGATCCGGCTGGGCGATCAGCCGCACGTGAGCTCGCCGACGAACACCTTCGCCCTGAAGGTGAAGAAGCATCGGAAGAAGGCCGCCACGTCGTATTACGCGCCGATCGCCACCAAGTCCGGCAGCATCCGCAAGAACTTCCCCGGAAACGGCAAGCCGAAGGCCTTCTACGTCATGGAGAAGAGCCGC